TCTGAATCATTCAGTTCTGCTGGAGGTTTCTTCCTGTTCAAAGGGAGTTTTTCCTCTCCACTGTCGCTACAAGCATGCTTAGTGTGAGGGATTGCTGAAGAGTCAATGAGTCGATGCAATCAGCTGGTTTTCCTTAGATAGAAAACTTTGAATAAATCTGACTGGATGATCTGGTGAACTGGAAAGTGCCTTGAGATGACATGTTTTGTGAATGGCGCTATAGAAATAAACTGTATTGAACTGAATATTTCAGTTGGACTACACAGCAATTCAGCAGCAATTTCATGGGTCTGACAGGAAGAGACGCGCTTGCAAAGTAAAACACATCCGCTTTGGGGGAAAATACAAGATAAAATCTGTTAATCTCACTGGAAAGAGTCAGTTTAGAGTCGCACATCGCATTTATAGTAAGCAGGACAGACTGGTGAAAAAAACAATGATTGAAATATTAAAAAAGAAAACTTTCCCCATGATAGTTCAGGAGGAAAGAAAACAGATAAAGTAGTGATCCTCTTTGAGCCTCACAAAACCAAAATAAGGAGGAGCAGACAGAGCAGGTCAGCGCAGCGTATCTCTCTCACCTCATTACGGAAAAAAAAAAAAAAATTATTTATTTTATTTTTTTTACAGATAAACGCTAAATTCAACCCCAATGTATTAGTTTTCAGTATAAATAATGATGATTTCTTGCTGAACAGACTTTTCCTGTGAGGATCCACAGGAACCCCTCACAGCACAGAATCTCTGACCGCCAACATGTTCTGCCTATTGAGTTTCCCTACAAGTGAAGGTGGCGTTTCCAACGTCATCTACTTACATCGGATTTGGACTGATCCTCCATGTCTGAGTCGTTGGGGTCCACCAGCTCCTGGAACGGCGGGAGCCTGGACGCCTTCCTGCGCTCGGCTTCGTCCGGGTCGTGGCACGGCTTGCTCGTCTGCGATCTCTTCTTGTCAGAGTAATGAGAGTCTGAACCAGACGTCGGCTTCCCCGACGGTTCGAGGTATCCCTTCCTGCGTTTTTTGGTCATCGGGTCATCGCCGTCCAACGTGGAGTGACGCTTGTTCAACCCCGTGGGTCCGTGGGCCAGACCCTCGCTTCGATGATCCTTGGCCAAAGACTTGGGTTCCTTGAAACCCATCTTAGGGTTGCTGTCTCTGAGTGGCTGATTTTCTTTGGGTTTCCTTGAAAATTCTTTGGGGAGTTTTGAGGATTCCCAGCCAGAGTCTCTAAAGGCACTTTTGGGCTCTTTCAAGTCTTTTAAAGGCTTTTCTTTGTGGTCCTTGGAGGGTTTGTGGAGTTTGGAGAAGCTGCTGGTGTTGGTGGTTGTGGCTGTAGTGAGGAGGTCGGTTCTTCCTCCTTTGAAGCAATCCTGTTCATAAAAAACAAACGCAGGCATTAAAATCAAATGACTAAATCTTAAGCAGCACATTAATAACAATTTCCAGGATTACAAATTTAAAGATTTTCCCAATCATTGTGATTTGATCCCAGAGGAGTATGGAGGGCAAAAGGTGTCATGAAATAACTTGATTTAACAGATGAGGTGTTTTATTTTATTTTCAACACAACAGGTGTTGTGGCCATTTATGCTAAATTTTTGTATCTTGTTATTTCTACCAATTTAGTTTTTGTCTTTTGGTATATAAAAAATATTTAAGTTAATTTAGAACCAAAATGTGTTTTTTTTTTTTACATTTGGAATTGTTTGGAGTAAGTTCTTAATTGTTAGACCCTCCCATTAATTTGAGTGATTAGGAGCACACCAGTAACCTGACTCCGCATATCAATCTGGAAACCTTCCATAGAAGTAATTTTGGGAAGGGGCGAAAATACTGGTTAGCTGATTGGCCTATGTTGGTGATAGACGGGCCAAATAAACCAATCAGANCGGAATACCCGGAGAGAACCCACGAATGCTCAGAGAGAACATGCTAACTCTATGCAGAAAGACTCCAGGCTGGGAATCGAACCTGGAACCTTCTTGCTGCAAGGCAGCAGTGCTACCCATTGTTCCCCTGAGCAGCCCTAGAAATGCTTCAAATTTTGAAAAACTTTCCAAATAGGAAGAAAGCTTATTAAAAAAAAAGAAAGATTGGATCGGATTTTGCATCCGATCCGATCCCGTCACGCTTTGACGTTTTAGACCGGCGTATGCCTGACATACGAAAAATCTGTCAAAAACTCGCATGTTGATAAGTTATGAGCACACTGAAAACACACGTCGATATAAGGCAAGTACGTAATTTCCCGATGTATGTCAGCGTATGCCATACGTAGGCCTTAAGTTACAGGTAAGTTATTCGATCCTTGACACACGTTAAGTGTAAGTGACTAATCAGTCGTGGCGTCCAGCTTATCCAAAACCTCTGAGTAACTTGTGCATAACTTCTGCGTAACTGATCAAGAACTTCTCTCCAACACATATCAACGTATCTGACGTGTTCCAGACGAGCGCTGGCCGTAGCTCCAACTGAGATAAACTCCAGGTCTAAAACAGTGTTGCCCCAGTGCCGTTTTTTGGTTACGACACCCGATACCTGGCTGTGCAGTATTGGCCGATACCATTTGTTTGAAAATGGTGTGTGTGTATATATGAAGACCTGCATACTACTTGGATGTAAAATAATTGCCGTCATGGCTTCATGTCAAGCTGCTGCCTACCTTTGTGAAGCAGGAAAAAGACTAAAACAAAGTGAATCCAGTAGAACTTTTTATTGCCTACCTGGAATAGGTGACAATAGTTAAAGAAACTTTTGACTCTCAAAATGCAATCGGTGCCCTATTTGTTGGTACTCACCGATACAGATACCACCATTTAAATGCAGTACCATGGCCCTGCCCATTGCTAATATCAGTACAAAACTGGTCTAAAACCAGTTTAGTCCGTGAGGCAGACACCCTGTTGACTTTTAAGGCTAGGCTTAAAACTTTCCTTTTTGATAAAGCTTCTAGTTAGAGTGGCTCAGGTTATCCTGAGCTATCTCTATAGTTCT